CCCCAAAGCACAAAACAACTATCCTCCCCTCCTCCCACAAAACAAGAGTTTCATGTTTTCTACCGGACTCGTCATCTTGAGATCGGGGCGTCGGGAGGCACTTGACAGGAATGATCCCATTTGGCTTGGTCCTTTCAAAGAGCGACGTGAACTTCGGAGGTCCCTCATCTTAAATAACCGTATAGTGTTGCAAAGGACGTTGAACCTATACACATTTGGACTTGATAGGACACCATGTCCTCTTCGCAGTCTCTCATTCACTGAGAGTATTCCAAGGAAGGGCGTATTACTTCTGGGACGACACAAAATAGTCCCTGCCCGTAGTTTTGTTTGTTTGTTTGTTTGTTTGTTTGTTTGTTTGTTTATTTGTTTTGGTAAGTGATTTACGACGCTCGCAACTGCATAATGTCAAATGAGCGCAAGGGACGCATTAAGCATTTACAGTTGGATAGGAATCAATTTTGAATTTTCTCCGGGTGGCGGTCAAAGCCTACTCGTATCGGTTTTAGGACCAGCAAGGGTTCTTTAACGTGCGCAACTTGAACACGGGACCTTCGAGATTTTTTCGACCTTATCCGAGAAGGCTAGGTGTTAGATATTACCTACCATAAGACCAGGGGTGTGGCTGAAAGATAGCAGTGAGAAGGCGCCAAGGAGTAGCAGTGGAAATGCTGCACAAAGAAGGAGATCAACGGAGGGGGCAGGGGGGGGGGAGCAGAAAGTGGAGACGAAAGCAAACAACAAAACATGGTTAGAGAGCAGGAAAGGAAGTCAAAGGAGAAACTTTTAGAGAAGAAAATTTATTTCCCGTCGCTGTCAGGTTTCGAATTCGGGACCTATAGAATGAGAGGCGAACACCGTACCTCTAGACCACGAGAGCTGGCAGCCCGTATTCTGCAATTAGGGTGCGCTGTAGATAACGTAGATAAAAAAAATGTGAATCTTTCAGGTGGATGGTCTCGTACTAGTGTGATTAGTCGTTAATTTGAAGAGCTGACATCATTGATATCCACGTATACCCAGTGTTGCTCCGTCCGTGACTTTTGAAATCCGATGGAAAAGTTTATCTATGATATCGGTAAGTCTGGCTTAACGGGCTTTAAACGGACTCGTACATTTCAGCTGTTGTTGTTGTTGTTGTTGTTGTTGTTGTTGTTGTTGTTGCTGTTTTTGCTGTTATTGTTGTTGCTGTTGTTGTTATACCTACTGCTGTTGATGTTGTTGCTGTTATTGTTGTTGATACTGTTTGAATTTTGAATTATTTCCCCGTGATTGTCTTGAAAAGACAAGAACACTTGAACATGAGTGTTTAGAGACAAGAGGGGAATCAACATACTGGTGGAGTGGAACATATTATTATAAGGCCGACACCAGTATCGCACACGTAATGGAATGCGAGTTTCCTTTTTCTGAATTCTACTACCGAAGTTCGGACTTCGGACCTCTTTTTTATGTTTCGCACTATGACAAATCGGCCACCTAAGGAAATGTGTGTGATATGTTATCACTTTCCCAAACGAGGTTCCAATGGTTTAAAATGTAGAACGCTTTTCTTCAATGCGAAATACCACAGTTTGAATTACTGCAGTGGAGCTGCTGACAAAATTCAGAGTTTTGTTGGTTCTCTTTCTTGTCCTACCCAAGGAAAGGAACGTTTTCCAGGTTCATAAAAGAAAACATTTTCTCTTCACGTTTTAAAATTCGTGAAAGTACCAAGAGAATAACCCCTTGACTCTGTGCTGCATAGATAATAATAATAATCGCGATAAATTACATTTATGTAGCGCTATGTCACGTAAGGAAGAGATCTCTGAGTGCTGTACAAGCATATTAAGTAGACAGTACACAAACACGAAAAGATACCTTCCGATAAGTAATCAGTAAGGCACGTTTCATCTAGATCTAGCTAATAAGCACAACACAAAGTCGTGGCCGGGCTTGGATTTGAGTACGCTCGCGACATTGCACCAATTACACCATCCCTTAATCGCGGACGGCCTCTTGAAAGGTCAAATCATGACTTGTTAATTAACACACGAGATGGAGGAAAAACTGAGACATTATCAAATTCGGTAGTAGATCAACCCAGCAGATTGGATCGACCCCCACGGTCATTTCCTATAGACATGTAATAAGCTTCAAAAGTCGGTCATCGTAATTCGTAATCAGTAGCGTCTTGACCACTCTTTCCGCCAATCCTTTCTCAGCTGAGAAAGTTTTAAGTAAAATCATTCCCCTTTCACTTTACTATTCTTGAAGTTTACCGTCTAAAGAAACACAATCTTGTTCATTTCAAAAATGAAATATTTAAATC